TCCCTCACTCCCTGTGACACATGGGAGGCCATGACAGGGAGAGGGGAGGGCACATATAGTGTAACTGAGCATCTGCTGCGGTTTGCCAAGGACATACTTACTGGTCCAATCCAGGGCTCCATCTTGGTCAAGGTCACAGGCAGAGGATGGGTCTTCAGAAACACGCACGGTGAGGGCTTGCAGCAGAATCATTAAAATCACACCTTGGATCTGGCTGTGGGGAGAAGCCATCATGCAGTTACTACTCCTGCCTGATTCATCAGTCCTGCCAGGGCTGCCAGGCTATCTCAGCAAGGAAGAACTGGCTTATGTCTGGTGCAGGGTGCTTGTAGTGAGGTAAACTACTGCCAACTGTCTCTAACTCAGGCTTGCCTTTCAGCACATCCTCAAGACCCATGACGCACGTGGCTAGGCCACTGTTTACCTCCAGCAAAGGTGGTCAGATTCTGAAGCATAGCTATCAGTGACCTAAGTCTTGGTCACTGGGGAAAGTTTGCCAATATCTCTCACTGCAAGGGTGAGGATGAGAAAAGCGAGGCAATGACCTCAGCCTCTTCCTCTTTCTCAGCTGGCTGCCAGACAACAGTAAACTCTGCCACCAATAGGAGACAATAGGGAGCTGTCCAGTGCCCTCTTTGATAGTTATTTACGGCAACGGTTGAATCCCAAGATGCACAAACAGACTGTGCTGTGAGGCATGTATATCTGTGCCTTGAGCTCTAGGGTGTTGTTCCTTCACTGCTCTGTCTGATATGGAACAGCTGCCCTGAGAGTGTTGAACCCCATTTTGGCAATGGGAACTGAGGCCTGACAGATCCATGTACTGCCATGGATACAGACACTACTCTCAGGTACACAACTCATGCTTGCTTTGGACATAGGTGATGCTGAACAGGTATATCTTCCTGCTTAGTGCCAAAGATGGTTGTCCTCATGCCCTTCTTGCACAAGATCCACATACTCTTCCTTGCTTTACACTCTTTATTGGAAGTTCATTAGCTCTGCAACTCAGATAAGGATGGATGTCCTTTTCTTTAAGACAAAATCCACAATGGACAGCTCTCCCCTTATCATACATACCAGACAGAAGAAATCATCAGCATGGCTGGCACCAGCATTTATGCTCTGCTTTGTTTGCACCTATACTAATCAAGCTCACCTGTAGACAGGTTTAACTTGCCTGCTTACCTTGCCACAAAAATCAGGCCTGTAGACGTGCCCTCTCCCACCGGGTAGGAGCACTCCACAGCCAGCTCCATGGCAATGGGATAGATGGCAAAACCGAAGAACCCAAACAGCGAGCTGGCTATGGCCAAGGTTATGGCCTGGTGTCGGAACCGAGATGCCTGCAGGCAGAGAAATGGTGCCAAAGTCTCAGTATCATCACTGCTGCACAGAAAGTCTCTGCTTAAACCTGTATTTCACCATCACCTGAGGGAAGTCCCAAAGGTTCGCTGTTCTCCAAAGCACCTTCCTCATCCTTTTACTGAAAGATCTCTTTAATCTGAAGCCTTCTAGACATGCTACAGGAGATCTACCTGTTGAATTTAAGCAAGACTAGAGAAGCAGAAATGCCTGAAAAACAGGTACTATTGCTTGGACGTGATTCCCTGTTTAGCAATTTACCAGAAATGTATTCAGCTGATCATTCAGCTGATTGCTATCTCATATTCCTCCTGTTACAAACTAACATGTCTAAAGTGTAGGTTATATATTTTTACATATTTAGAGTAAGTTACATATAAGAGGTCATCAGGCTTGCCTTGGAAACTATTCTTTATCATATATCAATGCTGTCAGACCCACTTCTGTAACACCAGGATATTATTTAAAAAGCAAAAGCAAACACACAACCAAACCAAACCAAACAACAAAAAATCCACATATCCTGGTGGTTAATTTAGTTCCTAAAAAAGCCTCATCTTCATCTCTGCAATTGCTGTCTTTTTTATTACTCTATTATTTTCCCACAGAGGAACACTAGGTGTTTCTTCTGACATAGCAGTAGCAGGCCTGTCCCAGCTACACTGGTTAATGGCAAAGAAGCAGCCAAACATATGGAAAACTTTATGTGTCTGGAAATCAAGTTCAAAGCATCAAGATAGCAAGTGTTTGTATTTTGAACTGATTCTTCGCCTCTGGCAGGAGAGGGAAGCTGAGGGGAGGGGAGGAGAGGAAATGGGACATGAGCTGACCTTCTTTCGAGTTGATAATTTATGAGGTGTCAACAGAAGTAGGCCCAGAGATATTTGCAATGCCAGGCAGAACTCACCACTGCAAACACTATACTAGCGAGTGCACTCAGACAGAAACAGATCTTGGTGGACTCTATAAACCTCCTTGTTCGGTCGACATATAGTCCAAGTAGGAAGGCACCCAGCAAACCACACATGGTGAATGTTGCACCATTCAGGCCAGCAAATACCTGCATGGTAGAAGAACAAGTGACTGAGCAACTAAATCAGGAGGGCAAGAGGTTTAATGTTACTGACCTATCTGCCTGCTTCTAGTAGGTCATTTAATGCACCAGGACAGATTCCTCTGTCCTTTGCAATAGTCAATGCCTCCACTGGGTTCAGAGTAGCAATTATCTTGACCTGGGATGACTGCTGTTTCAGGGGCATGTGAACAACAGAGTCACACAAATGCCAAGGTCTCAGTGGAGAATAAGCTTCTGCACATCTGGTCTGGGAGGCTGGGTGTGGGGCAACAGCAGTTCCCTGGCACTGAATGATTTATACAGCAAGACCAAATTCCTGATTCACACACAGTTTTAACTCCTTTTGGGAACTTTTATTTATAAACATACTCAATGCCCTTATTTTACCAGGAATTTATCCTGACTGACTGCTCACCACAAGGCAGGTTGCCCCAATGACTGCGATGGCCCATCCCAGCCATGCTGGGCCAGGGACAGAGCAGGGCAGTCTGAGCAGAGAGGCAGTGGGTAGTAGCAAGGATAGGACCTATGCTCTGCTGGCTAGTACTGCTGTGGCAGAAAAGATAGGGTGTTTGGAATAGCTCCTGCGGGCTCCACTGCAGGCCTGGGAAAGGCCAACCACACACCAACACAGTCAGAATTTTTGGCATTGAGCTGGTTATCACACAGTTGAGGAACAGAATGGCCTGCTCTCTCCAGGGCTTGTCTGGGCCTTCTTCCGTTCTGAGGAGGGGAACATAGGGATGTAGTGGCAGCAGTGCTCTGCTGTGACTTAGAAGGAACCCAAATAATCTTTCCTTTACAGTGTCTAGCGAGAGAAGCTTTTCATTCACAAATGGGGGCCAGGGCAAGGGAAGTAATGAAAATGATAATCTATTATAGTAAAACCCTGACTGTGCTCTGAATTAATATGCTGCTTAATATATAGTAGACTTGATCAGGAAATGAGAGATAGACAGTGCAGCACATTCACTTGTCCTTATTTTGCTCTGAGTCCCTAATTACTGAAAAACATTTTGACGGTATCATATATAGATCATGTGGGAAATGGGGATGGAGGGATATAGACTCACATTTGAATATCCTTTTTCACAGAGGATCTGTTCCAGCAGAGCTGAAAAGCAGGTGAAGATCCCAATTCCTCCTCCAAAGCATACAGCCAGGATAAGGTATGACTTGTTTTTCACGAGCTACAAAAAGAAGTTGCAACATCATTTAAACAAGTGGAGAGGTAAAAAAAAAGCCTATCTGAGACAGTGGTCTTGAAGGTCAGGGTCTCAGATTCTTCAGCTATAAAAGTGAAGAGGGCTATTCTTTGAGCATTAGAGGAATTAGGCTTTCTGCTGTCAAGGGGGAGTTTAAGACCAGCTGGAGGACAAGCAGAATTGGTACTATGTAGGGCAGAAGGGACTCCACAATATCCTTAAATCTACTCTTCACTTTACCATGTGCCTTGCTTCCTGCAAATGGTCTGTTCAGGTGGCTCAAAGATGCAGTCCTCTCGGAGGTGCATCGGTTTATCTGTCTAAGCCAACTGAACAGCAGCCAGTTCATAGCTGAATAAGCCAGACAGCATCTGCCTCACCTCTGCTGTAAGCAGATGTTAACTCCCTGAGGAAGGAAGAGATCCTGATCTCCTTTCGGGATTTTTCCTGGCAGGTTGTTTGGTGGGGCAGGGTTCAGAGTATGCTTTATTGGCAGTTTCCTCAGTACACGCATCACTGTGATGATGGTTTCTCTCTGTGGCACTTACCATTTTGAGCCCTGTGAGGAATGGCTGGGAGGTGGAGTTAGTTGCACTGGCTGAAGGAGGTGTTGGAGGAGCATTCTTGTGAATCCCAACAGTTGCTAGAACACAAGCTGTTACTGCTGGGATGGCATAAACACCCAGCTGTACAACAAAATGCAAAAACATGTTATCAGTCTTTCCAGCTCCATTGCCTCTAAACATGTAAAGCAGCTGAAACCCAAGGCCCAACTGTCGATTAAACCAATTTTAAGTTACCATCAGTGGAATGTGTTTTCCTTCTGGAACTAGTGCAGGTGACAGCACATTTGCTATAAGAATACCCAAGGGATTGGCTGGAAGAGAACAAAAAGGATACTTGTTTTAGGTAAGCAGTCAGAATCATGTATGTACCCCTTCTACCAGTCAGCATCAGTGTTGTAGGAGGGCAGCAGAGTGGCAGTAAGGATAGAGCATGCCAAATGTATGCAGAAGTCAGGAGGGGACCACTTGCAAAATTAAACTAGGAAGTCTTGCTGTTACCATGTTTCCCTGCTCCCATTGTGCCAATTAGAAATTCATCTTCCTGTGGCCCCTAGCTCCCATAACAGGATGCTGATCTTCATCTATGATTTATGCTGTCCCCACTTTCACAAGAAAACCCCTGTAAAACCCAAACTGAAGGGACAAAATGAAGATGGACCTATCCAAGACATCTGTCCTTATTGCTTAGTGGAGTTACTAATGCACTTTCCCTGCATATCCTCAGATTCCCACAGGAACCTGTGGGAACTAGAAGAAACTAGAAGAGATGGCCCAGCATTAGCTCTGATGCCTCTGAACACACTGAGATGCCCTCACATGTCACCTCCTTATTCCTCCTCTCAGTTTTATGTTTCTTGCCTGCTTCTCTGGCATAGCAGTTGCCCCATTCACTTCTGCAGTATGTTTATCCAGAGTCACAGTCCGTCAGGATAAAACAAAAGCAGATCAGGGAGTCATTCACAGTAAGCTGAAAACAGTATCCCATTAGCAACTTGCAGCTCAGAAGCAAGAATCAAACCATAGCTAGTCAATCCTAACCTTTCCCCACAATAGTGTGCTTGTTGTGACTCGAACCAGGACTATTGAGAAACAGTGATAGGTGTCAAGGAGAATTGCCTTCTTTCTGCCATATCGATATGACAATGTTTATCAATTTAATTCTCACTAATAATAAATATCCCATTATTTGGTGGCTCTGTGAACAAAGATATAGCAAAACACCCCATTTCATTATGTGCCGATTGCCTCTTGTCCTATCACTGGATACCACTGAGACAAGTCTGCCTCCAGTTTCTCTAAACTTTTCCATCAGATATTTATATGAATCAATAATATCTCCCCTGAACCTTCTTCAGTTTCCTACCAGCTCTCCTAGCTTCTCTTCATATGGTGAATGTTGCAAACCCTTCATCATTTTAGTGGCTCTTCATTGGATTCACTTCAGTGTGTCCATGTACTTCTTCACTGGAGAGCCCAGCACTGAAAATAGTGCTCCACATATGGTGTTCAGCAGCACACTTCCTAATGCTGTCCGTGATGCTATTGGTCTTTTATGCCAGACAGGCATGAAACGCAAGAAAATCCTGCAAAACCCCTCAGAACTTACACTAGGTCATTCCTGATAGCGTGCAAGACAAAACAGTAGCTCAGCAATGCCTAGCCTGTGGGGCTGGAGCTGCATACCGTATGGAAAACCATCCTCTGCCTCTTCTCAGGAATGTCCAGAATTGTAGGGGACAAACTTTAATGAGATGTTGTGCAAATGGTTACATGAGCAAAGTTGGTTTTCTACTAATACATACGTCCTGTCCCTCCCCTTTCTTTTCTACTACAAAACTGAAGGTCTCCCTACTCTTCCCCATATTTCCCAAATTACTTCCCTACTGCCAGCTCCTTTTGCATCCTTCAATAACCAGCTGGCTCTGAGACACTGTGTGCTTCACCTGGCTTGGAGAAGCAGTGGGCCAGGCAGAGACAACAGGTAGTGGAGATGCACTGCATACCCAGGCTGCTAATCTACAGAAAGTGCCTGAGAGTGCCTGGCTCCTGTTTCCAGAGAATGTGACATACCACCCTGTCCCATTCTGCACACAATTTTTGGAAATCTTGTGAAATTCTGAGCCCAGAAGCAATTTCAGTTAAGAGTATTGGGAAGTGCAGATGGAGAGTACCACGGACATGTACCATAGTTACATGTCTACTGTTTCCTTTTTCTTCAGCTAAAGTGGTGTCTGACCTACCTGCACTGCAAAAAACAACCAACTCCACTGCCTACTAAAATGTTCTCTGCTCCTAAAGTAATGTAAACAAAGGATACAGTTAAACAGTATTTTCCAAAACTGTTAAAACTTTTGCACCTGATTAAAATGCATAAGGGCAACCTAGGGGACTAGCTGTTAGAGGTGTTTTCATGAAACACCTGTTTATGAAGGCTGTTTCTGAGGATGGGAGAAATGAAAGCACTGGGCTTAATTTGAAAAGATAAAATCAGACTGAGTAATTAGAGCATTTCATCCTCATTCTGTTTTTGAGAAATGTAATGATATGGGCCTAGATTGACAATGAATGAAAAGGAGGTAACCAGAGTTAATCGACAGCAAGCTATTGGCCAAGGGGTCCTGGGGCTCACAGCTTACTGTTTGTGCATGATGCTGATGCATTGAAATGCTGTAGAGTGCTGGAAGTGACTTGCTGGCTGACAGACCACAGCAAGTCCAGAAACCCAAAGATGAAGCAGTAACTGTTGCAGTGCAATCAAGACAAGTGTTTCCTCACCTTGCACAGTAGAATTTCTCATGGACTTTCCAGGGGCTAAGACCTTGGCCTTGTGCTGTTTCTGTGCCAGTCTCCACTACGATGTAAAGATTGAAGAGCACAGCTGAATCATAGTGACCTCAAGTGTTTGGTGGGATGAGTAAAGGCCTCTCTGCTAAACAGCCCACACACAGAAGCCAAATACTATTGGGAGCTGTGAGGATACTGATAGGAGCCTGCAGGGACAACTTCATAGACACAGACAGTCCTGTAACACTAAGTGTTGCTCTGGTGTCAACTCAAGAGATGGTTGTCAATAAACTGGAGCAAGATGAGAGCAGCAGGCAGACATGGCGGTGTGCACGAAGACATAAAGAGTAATGTGCCTCAGAAAGGCTTTCAGTCTTTCTAGACGATGAAAAGAGAGAGGAGGTGACTCCATCTGTAGCTACCTGATAAACAGGTGCAACAAGTGTAAATGGCTGCGTGATAAGGAACATCCAGAGGAGGTCTTGCATAGCAGACAGCCATGGGTACAGACATTATTAGTAGAAACTCTCAGAAAGGCAGTATATGGGTTTCACAGCAGATAATAATCACAGCCCATTTGCTCCTAACTCTTATACCTCACTGCATCACAGAGTAAAGAACTTCAGGTTTGAAGTTTCTACTGTCTCTTGCTTTTCAGTTTTATTCTCTTTTCCTCATAACTAATTAATCGATTTATTCCTGTTATAAGGCTGAAAGTCTATCTAATCAATCTAATGCTGTTTGGCTGCTCTGTCTCATTTAAAAAGGAAGACCAAGTTGTCTACAAACTTGAAGCACATGTGCTTTCCTTCTCCATTCTACTTTTCCAGGCTCAGAAACCTTCTTCAAGACAGTCTGCATTGGTGGTGAAGCATCCCAGTGCATGGTGGCCCTCACTGGCACCTTCTGAATTCTCTGATAGTATTTGTTCTGCAGCATGCTGATGACGGAGCTCCTTTTGCAGTGGCAAAGGTAAAGGTTTATCACAGGCCTGGGAAACCAGGTGAATAACTAGGTCTACCCTACAGTGTAAAAACAAATGATTCATCCTGTCATCATACATCTGTTCTTTGCTAAATAATAACGCCTCTGCTATAGGATTGCAGCAACATTGGGAAGTGGTGTAGGAATGTTGGCCTTTCCTCCCAACCCATTCCTTCCCACACAACTCCAAAGCAGTGTGGAAGGCAAGGTAGCCAACAGCTTTTGTTGGGAGCAGGTGCTGATCACCCTATGGTGCAGGTAATGTGAGACTTGCCAGCTTCAGCCAGTGGGCCAGTCCAGTTGCTGGGCCACCTTCCAGATCCTTCGATTTGGGAAGAAGAGACCTTGGAAGATGAGACTTGTTCTGGCTGCTGAGAAAAAATGCCACAGGAAGGTAGGAAATAGGTCTGATGACTGCAGTATCCCTTTTCTAGCAATTGAGTCAAGAGTAAGAGCACAGCAAGCATATCTGGTTCATCCCCTTCACAGTCTTGCAACTTCCAGGCTGGCTCCTTAATGCATAGTAAGATAAGTTCCTTTCTTTCAGTATGAAGCTCCTCTGTAGTATCAGGAATCTTAGCAGCCCCAGTAGAACCAGTCCTGTCCACAGAGAACATCAACAGGGTGACAGGAGCCCAACTACTATGTGCTCTTGTCTTTTTTTTTTCTTTTTTTCTTCACTACCAAAACAGCCATACTCACCTGTGGTGAATCATGAGGCTTTCCTATAGAAAGGAGAATTCTTCAGTTATTAAAATTAATCATCAGTGTTTCAAACTGTACAGATAGTTAAGGAATGTTTCAAACAGTATAGATAGTTATAAAACAAGAGAGTATGCCAGACTGCATTGTACAAGCCCAGATTTTTTGGTCTGTAGAAGCATCTCAAGTTATTCTGTGATTTCCAGGTGGGAGCCTGACAGTCCCATGGTTTTCCTTGAGTCTATTCTCTACATTTAACCTGTATCAGTCACACATTTTAGTGAGGCTTTTGCCCAGATTAGCTGGATAGATGAGGGGAGAGTGGTGGATGTAATCTATCTGGATTTCAGCAAGGCTTTTGACGCCATCCCTCACGAGCAAGTCACTGGGCAAACTCTGGAAGTGCGGGTTAGATGAGTAGGCAGTGAGGTGGTTTAAGAACTGGCTGGATAGCAGAGCTCAGAGGGTGGTGATCAGTGGCACAGAGTCTAGTTGGAGGCCTCCTAGGGGTCAGTCCTTGGTCCAGTCCTGTTCAATTTATTCATCAGTGACCTGGATGAAGGAACAGAGTGCTCCCTCATCAAGTTTGCTGATGATACCAAACCGGGACGAGTAGCTGATACCCCAGAGGGCTGCGCTGCCATCCAGAGGGACCTAGACATTCGGGTAGAGAGCAACTTTATGAAATTCAATAGGGGAAAGTGCAAGGTCCTGCACCTGGGGAGGAATAACCCCATGCACCAGTACAGGCTGGGCACTGACCTTCTGGAGGGCAGCTCTGTAGAGAAGGACCTGGGCATCATGCTGGATCACAAGTTGACCATGAGGCAGCAGGTCGAGGGAGGTGATTATCCCCCTCTACTCAGCGCTGGTGAGGCCACATCTGGAGGACTGTGTCCAGTTCTGGGCTCCACAGTACAAGGGGGGAAATGGACACAAACTAAAGCATCAAAAGTTCCACAGGAACTTAATGAAAAATTTCTTAACTGTGAGGGTGACAGAGTCCTGGAACAGGTTGCCAAGAGAGGTTGTGGCATCTCTTTCTGTGGAGATCTTCAAAATCCACTTGGATGCAATTTTGTGCCACATGCTCTAGGTGACATTCTGTGTGCAGGGGGGTTGGACTAGATGATGTCTAAAGGTCTCTTCCAACCCTAAGGATTCTATGATTCTATGGTTAAAGGCTAATCATCATAAACACAAAGGCTCAGTGATGATCACATGAACAATGATAGCTGGATCAGTCCCCCTAACCTTATCAGTTCCAACTGAACAGAACAGAGAACAGTCTAATCAGAGCACGCTTACTTGGCCTCTACCAGAGGTATCAAGGCATAGTGATTAGTCTAGAGTTTGAATGTGATGCCTAGCGAAGGGAGACCAGAAGAGAAACTCTCTTTCACAAATGCCTTGCAAACTAACAGAGACTATTGCTTGTAAGTGGTATAGGATTTATTATGACATAAAAGGAAATCATTTGGGAATTGTAGGAACTTACAAGACCTATAATTAGATGCTTAACAGAAGGATAAAAGATGAGAAAAGGAAGAAACAAAGGTAGATTGGGATGGGGGGGGAAAGAAGTAGGGAAAATAGAAAAGAAGATAAATATAAGCAAGCTGCATACTATGCCCTGCTTTTGATCTCTACAGTCGGTCCTGCATTATGAAACTGTATGAAACTGTATTTATAACTCTTTACCTGGGTGAAGAGCTCTCTAACCTTTGTGTTCATGTGTGCAGGCAGACCTCAGTGCCAGCCAGTAGTGTAAGGATGGTGGATCAGAATGGTCCACCATATCGTTTGTGCTGCCAACATCTGTAGAGACTTGAGTGTGTGTATGAATGTTTGTTTCCTTAGGGATCTTATAGCTTCTGTGTGTGCATATGCCTGTGTACAGTTCACTTCGAGCAGGACTAGCCACTTAGCGGGATAAGAGGTTTGTGAACCAGCTACCAGAGAGATTTCAGGTCTGGGGAATAGATCCTTGAGTGACCAAGGGCCTGTTAGTCCCTTAGTGAGGAGACCCTAGTCCTTGACCAGCTACTGGAAAGACCTGTGTGCGACCATGTGAGACTGGGGAAGATTGGTGATCCAGGGGAGTTGCAGATTGGGGGTCTAAGGCTTTTTATGATTTATGGAGGGATCTATATTATCCATGCATATATATAGCCTAATAGCAGACTCTATTCCAGGCAGCCTGACGGGAGGAAAAGGAATCGGCCATTCATATTGCTCCTGAGTGCTGTTTTCTTTCTGTTTCGATAGGCATGCATACCTGTTGGCCAAACATGCTCAGCCTCATTTCTGGCTGAATGTGGGGGACACAGAGACACAGCAGCCTCAGTTCTGTCAAGCTACAGGATTTGGCAGAAGTGATGGAGGAGTGGACAGATTTTCCACAGTTAGTAGCAGACTATGCCACTTGTATTGGCAACAGGGTTTTGTTTTCTATGATCGTGGGGTCCTGTTTGAAGATAATCAGCTGATGGGAAGAAATCAAGTGATGGGGATCCAGCTCACAAAGAGGGGCATGTATGTCTTTGCCAATAGATTGCTCAGCCTAGTAAGTAAGGCTTTAAACTAGGAAAGATGGGGAAAGGGGAGAGTCAGCAAAATGTGGTTCAAGTTGGAATGCCTCCAGCAGGCGCATGCAACCAGGGAAATGACTATAAAGGATCCTCTTGTATCATTCCAGGAGAACCTGCATGCCCTGTTACTTTCCTGAAATGCCTGTACAACAATGCAGACCGTTTGGGGAATAAACAGGAGGAAATGAAGAACTACATGCGGTCCTAGGGCTGTGATCTCATTGCAATGACAGAGACATGGTGGGATAGCTTGAGTAACTGGAATGTTGTCATGGATGGTACATACTTTTTAGGAAAGACAGCCCAGGAAGGTGAGAATGGAGTAGCTCTTTATGTGAGAAAGCAACTAGAGTGAATGAAGCTCTGCCTAGGGGTGGGCAAGTTGAGAGTTTATGGATAAGGATTAAAGGGCAGACTCACACAGGCAACATATTTGTGGGTGTTTACTACAAGCCACCTTACCATGAAGAAAAAGGCAATGAGGCCTTTTATAGACAGCTGGAACTAGCCTCATGATCACAGGCCCTGGTTCCTCTTGGGAAGTTTAGCACTGGCTGAATGGCAGAACTCAGAGGATCATAATCAGTGGCAAACAGTCTAGTTGTGGACCTGTAGCTAGAAGTTTCCCTAACAGGTCAATTCTAGGTTTGGAATTGTTCAACTTATTCATCAATGATCTTGATGAAGGGACAGACTGCACTGTCAACAAATTTGCTGATAATGCAAAACTGGGAGGAGTGGCTGATATACCAGAGGTCTGCACTGCCGTTCAGAGGGACCTGGACAAGCTGGAGGGATGGCCAGTGAAGAACCTCCTGAAGTTCAACAAAAGGAAGCACAGGGTCTTGCACCTGGGGAGGAATAGCTCCATGTACCAGGACAGGCTGGGAGCTGACCTGCTGGAGAGCAGCTCTGCAGAGAAGGACCTGTGTGTCCTGGTAGACAACAAGTTGACCAGCAATGAGTCATTGTGACCGAGAAGGCCAGTTGTATCCTGGGTTGCTGGCAGGTTGAGGGAAGTGATCCTCCCCCTGTCACTTCTGATCACTTAGTCCTGGTGAGGTTACCTCTGGAGTGTGTCCAGTTCTGGACTCCCCACTGCAGAAGGGACATGGAGAGTACAACATGGAGAAATAAAGATGGTTATGAGACTGGAACATCTGTCATATGAGAAGAGACTGAGAGAGCTGGACCTTTTCAGCCTAGAGAACAGAAGACTGAAACAGGATGTTATCAGTGTGTACATCCTTCTTAAGGAAGGATGTCACGAGGAATGGGCCACACTCTTTTCAGCGGTGGCCAGTGATAGGACAAGAGGTAACCGGCACAATCTGAAGCACAGGAAGTTCTCTCTAAACATGAGGAAAAATGTCTTGACTGAGGTTAACAGAGGTGGACCAGGTTGCCTAAAAACGGTTGTGGAATCTCCATCTCTAGAGATACTCAAAACTCATCTGCATGCGATCCTGTGCAAGATGCTCTAGGTGTCCCTGCTTTTGTGTGTGTGTGTGGGCGGACTAAATGATCTCCAGTTCTTTCCAATCGCTCACCAGCAGCCATTCTATCATTCTGTAACCACTAGCTTCACTTGCAGTGTAGGCATCAGCCAACAAGCTGCAGAGTATAGGCCACTGCTGAGACTTTGGATTTAGTAACACGGTCCTCAGATTCTGTAGTACTTGGGCAAAGATGATCACCTTGGCATGGCAGAAGGGAAAGGAGATGGCAGACTGGGTGGCCTACACTGAACTTTGCAATTGGATGTGGCCAACTCCTCCTTCTTGCTCCCCAACAGGATAACTCCTGCTTGGCTTGCGGGGCCATAAAAGCATTTACTGCACATGGCTGAGATTCTTGTGCAGAGCTCTATTTCCAGGATGAGCTGGCAGTGGTGTAAAGTTTCCTCTGTGTACTGTGCCCCAAAGGAAACAAATACTGGGAGGTTCTGTGAGGTTGAGACATTACTTTGCAGCTATGACTTACACATTGATGCAAACATGTTAGCTGTTGCTCTCTGGTTGTCTGGAAACCACAGTGCTGCCAGTTTTGTTGGTGAAAAGATGACAAGAGGCTGTGCCAGTGCACAGAGGCATTGTCCAACAAACAGGTACCAGTAACTCCAGGAGCCCAGACTCAGGAACTTCAGGACACTGAACATCCGGATGATGCTACCTGTCATATTCAGCCATGCACTCAGGGTAACCTGGAGCAAGCAGAAAGAGCCAGAGGTTTTTTGCTGCAGCTCCCCATGTACACATGTACATCCTGCCTCAACCCTGGTTAAGTAGCATGCCCAGTAAGGAGGAAGAGTAACATGAGCCTCCTAAAGGCTCCAAGACAACAGCAAGAGATGGTGAGTGAGGGGAAGCTTGGCTTGGGCAGCTGGTTTATCCTGTTACCTAACCCTTTATTTGCCTTTCCTGAAATACTTGTATGCTCCTGTTGTTATCTTTCACCTTACATAGTCTTCTCAGGATTCCTATCTGATGTGCTTGGCTTTTATACAGGTAAAGTATATTCTCTGATCAGTAAGCTCTGTTAATCACACTGTGAGTGACCTTAGGGTTTGCCTAATCCCAACAAGTCATGGCCTCACTGGAGAAGAACAACAAACAAACAAAAAAAAAAAAGATGATCTTATCATAAAACTCAGCAGACAGAACTTCTTTAGGTACCACAAAGCACTATCATAACTTTAAAAGTTTACGTACAATTCTTAGACAATTCCGCCCACATACAGTTTATGTGAGACAGCTAATACTGTCATGGAATCTTTGAGAAATTCTAAGTTCAAATGTTTTACTCTGTTTTCAAGTTTGCACTATCATCCATATCTTGCTGTGACCATCCAAAGATCATGGAAACAAGTCCTTTAGTGCACAGATGCTGTTAATGCACTTCTATCCCACTAGAGAGCTATTTCAAGTTTAAAAAGGTTCATAATCTTTGTACCATAGAAGGAAGCAAGACTGATTTTTACCATTGTTGGGTAAGTCCCTTAAAAGTTCAACAGTGGTGATGAGGTCTTTGGTGCCAGGGACAGCTGAACTATTGAGGTGAGAAATTTAAATCCTTATGAGTCATAGAAGTCACATGGGGAAGTAAATCCATAAAATCTTTCATGGAAGAGTTGACTGCTTTGGAAATACTGAGCCATATCAGCGTGCACATGAAGTGTTATTAAAAGCAGTGAGTGTGCTAGGTATCTGCTCTGGCATGCCGTTTCAAAGCGCTCCCACACAGTAAGTCAGCTAAGAAGTGAGGCAATGCAGTGGGATTCTTATCATGCACTGTCTTAAGGAAAAATTTTATGCTGCCATGAGAAAACCATAATAATGTCTTTCAGTGTGTATTCTGTCTTTTCCCACTATTCCCCATCTGAGAGGTGAGGTTACAACTATTGCCAAACCAGAGCACAGCTTTCAAAACACTTGTCTTTGCAGTGTTTGGCAAGTTTCCCACTCACATTATGCATGCTAGTGCTTTGTGCAGCTAAATACTTGGGAGATGTCACCACTGCTGTCTCTAGCTGAAAAGCCCTTGGGGGTTAACAAATTAGTTCAACTCACAGCCCATCTGAGCCCCACGCTGTCAAGGACCCACGTTGCCACCAGTCCAAAGGGGATCGAGATGAGAAGGTATACGAGTGAGAGCCAGTTGACTGTCTCCAGGGAAATGTGGAAATAGGAAGCTGTCTTATCAGCCACAGGAGCAAATGTCAGCCACAGCTGCAGAATAGAGAGCAAAGAAAGTAAGCTTGAACACCTCCACCAAATTGGAAATTCAGCATCAAAACTCAGACGCTTGGTATGTATCTCCTGTTACTTGTGATAGTGCTATTTTATGCCTCATCTTATCCTTACCCTGACCCTGAGCCCTCCATCCATTTCACAGCTGTATCTGCAATCTTCTGCTGCAAGGAGTTTGGTGAAGCAGAGGTCAGTATCCTTATCTATACTCAGTTTGGATGTAGAAGCCCTGGATGCTGTTACCTGTTGCAAACCCCAAGCAATCCTTCTATTTTAGCATAAACAACACAGAGGCCACCATTTCCCATTTGCAGGTAGTAGTCCCTTAAACTCAGTCTGGTTTTTTTTACTAAATCAGTAACCTCAGACGTGGTCCAAATTCACTGATCACCAAAGGGCCATATACATCAGAAGCATGTGACATCCTGCCTCAACAGGAAACCTCCATGCTGATGTAGTAGCCCAGCAAGGAAGGACAGAGGCAAGATCTCCAGAGTAGTCAGATACCTGCCTGGATGCCACTTTTAACATTCTTTTAGCTCTCCGGAAGACCAAAAAGACCCAGCAGCCAAGCACAGCTACTGTGTGTCCATGCATATCTCCAGGGACACTGCCAAAACAGACAGGAGAGAAGGGTGCACATCCTGCCTTGGAGCATACCAGTCTCCAGTTCTGCAGGCTTCGCTTTTGGTCCCAGGTGTACTGAGTGACTGAGCGATGGTGGAAGTCCGCCAAGCTGGGTGAGTCAGCACTAACGCCCAGGAACCACCTGACCGAGTGTGGAGTCAGTCCCAGCCCTCTACCTCCCTTGTCCTCTCCTGCTTGCTCACACCGACCAGCACAGTCCAGAGCAGGAAACTCACTGATTTGCTCTCCAATGCACCTCTCTATCCTCAGTGCTAAGGCAAGAAAAAGTTCCCCCTGTGAGATGAAAAGTACCCACCCTTTGAACTTAGCCAAGAAGAGATAAGAAGCAGGTATTTGTGTCAAGAGTTTATCTCAATGTCTGATCCAAACTAATAGAGAACACAGTTGTTTACAGCTGTCAGTGAATCCTGAATGTTCTTAAACATTAAGTCTTCAGGTTAGGAAAAAAAAACAAACAAAAACCCAAAACAAAACAAAACAAAAACCCACATGATCACACAAAAAGAAGCAGAAACAGCATCAATTTGATAAAACAGAGCTGGGGAACAGCTACACCCACAGGGAGTGGTGAAGAGACAGCTGGGCAACAATCATCTAGCTCAGCACAGCTGAGGTCAGAGAAGCCTCCCAGCCAAGAGCTTCAGGCTCTCATGTGCATACTGGTACCTGCTCATGGCCTTTTTAAGTGCATGGATTTCTTGCATGATATTGGAGCTAGCAACCTCCAGAACAGGAGTGCCTAGAAAATGACAGCCAATACCTACCAAGCTAGTACTTGCTTTGTATAGAGGAGAGATACAAATGCTTTTAAGCTCAGATCAGTAACGGACATTTAAGCAAGGAGCTATTTACCTTCACTGTAAAACACTTCTTTGTACCCTACCTGTGTTGCTGTGCTTATTGGCTAATGAGAGGATTCCGCATGAGACCTGGAGCAGAAAGAAGTAGGGAAGAGTGCCCCTTTTACCACCACATGGCTACCCTGGTTTGGCTTAGTCACTGCTCCAAGACAAGTTGAGTAAAGATTTCTTAGCCTGCTCTTGTTGCATGACTTAGTGTCCTTCCTTACAACTAAGTTGCTCCCATCTTGTCTTCCTAACTCTGACAGTCCCTCTTAATCTTAGGCCAAGGTAGTGTTGCTATCTACCATGTTTCAGAAAATTGCATAGGTAAAATTGGGGAATATAAGCTGGCTTTGGACCAGGCATAGCCCTGGAAGGTTGGTCTATCGCGTGAGGCTAAGGAGGTGACCTGGTTCTTCTATGTAAGCCAACTCAAAAAGACACTCACGTATCCTCAGCAAGCTGAATTTTTTTTGGTATCTTGACTCACAACACAGAAGTATTGGCAGTGACAACTGCACAGGAACTGAGAGCGCATCTTTACTTGCAAAACAGTTTTCAAACTGTAAAATTGGTAAGTCAATCCTTCCATCAGCAACCATGTCTGCAACCTCTGATTTCAGATCCTTCTATTTTGATGTAACTTTCATCAGGAGTACTTAGGAAAAGCACTAATGTCATTTGTGGATAATTCTATATGTCAGCAGTTCTTGAAGTTCCAGTCATTTGTGCTGGCCTTCGAAATGCCCTAGGATATTTATTAGATACTCAGTTTTGAAGCAGTGAAGTTCTGACACCAGTTCTTACCATATGTCTCTCGCACTGTGGACAGAGTCAAGCAGTTGGACAGAGATCCTAATGGACAAAACAACAATCCTTCAGGGTTGCAAAGCTATCAGCAACATGATCCAGGAGATTTGTATGGTGCGTGCAAAGGTCCTTTTAAAATAACCATCCTGTTTTACTGCTAATCTTGAGTGAAGTCTAAGCTTATAAAAACAGCCTGGAAAAACACTATACAGCTTGCCTCGCTTGTGCTATCACTATAGATTTCTCATAGGCAGGATATAGACTTAAACTAACTGTGGTATATTTCTCCTTTTAAACATATTGGTGTACTCTGCTAGTCTAACTGCAATTAAGCAAATCAGATTTCACACTGTGTTTTTTTTGAGTGACACCACCTTACAGGATACACAGATTTAACCACAAGAGATGACACATTACTTTTTTTTCTATATTACCCACTTCAATGTATTATCTATTTCTCTGTCCCAGTATTCCTTGAATCAAATGCTGCATTCCAGCTTTCCTTGCATCAAAGAATGCCTGATCTTCTTTCACAGCATATAAACACTTGAGGATTGCAGTGCCCTGATCTTGGCTGCCAGGTTGCCTGCATTCACAACACAGAATCCTCAGGCACATGTACCATTCTGTATCAGCCTTATAATTACCAACACTGCCCTCAGTGATTTTTGATGAGCAAAGATTTGGGCTTGCATTCTTGCTTGGTGACACTTGTTAAAGAGAAACACCATGCACTTAATTATTGAGCCTGTTTTCAGTCTTCCACAGGAGGAGTCTGATCTCCTACAGCTGTTTTTCAGAATGAAGAGCCTGTAAAGCAGCTCCAAGTTCACTCCCCAGCAGGTTTTGTATGAAACCATGCCGGTGCTTATCCAACGCATGCAGAACCCCATAGGGGCATCTGCTCGCTTCTTTCCCTGGACAGGGGGACTCAGTGGTGCAGCTGCGGAGGAGGCAGGGCCGAGGCCAACTATACCACCCGAGGAGAGTCTCGGCAACTGCCACCGGTGCCTCCCGCGGAGCGTACGTGCGGCTCGGCAAGGATGTGTGGCCGTCCCCCCCCCACCACCCGCACCGGCCGCTGGACCCCCGGCTCGACTGGCATCCGCGCTGCTTT